GATGGGTTGAATTGCACAAAACGCATGATCGCACCGGCTAGTCTGGTGCGCGTTGCCATTTATTTACTTCTGATTTAGTGCTTCCAGATCGTAGTAGCGTTCCTCGGCCAAAATGGCACTTTTTTTTTTGTTAAAATAAGCCTTTTCGTAGCAGCATTCAAGTTCCAACTTTTTTTGTCGTTCTCTTTTGTGTCTTTTGGCCGATAAAATTTTGAACTTTGTGCCTTCTGTTTGCAGTTTGTGAACATCACTTGGTTTTGCGCTTTCTTGGTTTTGATCGGACAGTTTTAATGGCCTTTGAAAAAAGCAGGCACCTCCCCATCTTAAAAACATTCCGTACTTATCGTCTTCTAAATAATCCACTGAGACCAGAACAGCTAGGCTTGGTTCGAAGAGAGGACAACCGTTCACTCCTGAGTTACTTCGTTTTGTTTTTTTACGGGCTTCACAAACGTAATTTCGTTACAGATTCCGTCCAACTACATCGGAGCAACTGATTGCGAAGATTACGTCTTCTGCATTCGACGAAATTTCTCTGGATTATTTGTCATCTCTTCTGAAACATTTTCCAACAGATGAAGAGGTTGTTTCTTTAAATTCCTTCAGTTTACCATGACAGCCAGGACTGCTTTAGCAGTCGATTTGGAGATCCAGTGTTGCTGTTGTTGCCTAAACATCGTATGCGCACGATGTGCCATATCCTTTGATCTCAAGCTGCCTGTCTGCAATTTGCATTCAAATGGAGGCGAACGGAACGAGCTCTGCTTTACATTAAGATATAATTCATGTCATTTTTTCCCATTGTTTTAGGACGTTTAATTTAAAAAATTTGCACTTTACGTTAAATGGCAGCTATTATTCATCCTATTTTTTTTCGCTCAGCGGGTTCCTTTCAGCTCGCATACTTTGCAAAACTGAAGAGTGGCAAAAATCTGAAAGATGCAGAATTATTTTGCTTTTTGGCTGCACGGGAGCCATTTCTGAAATTGCAAATCGAATTAAAAGTCCTTGCGAGTAACGTCTCTGCTGATGTAAGTTCTTAATCAGATCGAAAATCTGCTTAAAAATGTTTAATGGAGAAAGGAGTCGAATGAATATTCAAATAGTATTCCCATAGTTGATGTCGTTGTGGAATAAGAGCAAAAAAAAGACAAACGCTTTTTGTTTTAGAACACAAAACGACAAAAACATTTAAGCACTTTTTTTTTCTTTTTTTAATGAATCGCTGCGAAACTAATCTGGGAGACGGTCGCTGTGACACAGTAACTAATCGGCATTGTGCCATTCCAGAAATATCCTTTCTTAGAATTATGGTTGCAGCTTACGCGTCAGCTCGATTCTGCTCGTGTGCTCCTGTGCGCTACCGAAGACTTGTACAGTTGCGCTTCCATCAAAACGTTCTTCCATCGTTGTCTGCAGTATGGAAATTTCCTGAATCAGGTTTCTATAAGAGCACCTGTTACTTTTTTTTTTGCTTCATTTGGTGGCTTTTGAAGTATGAAGTTTTCAAGTTTCGAGAATTTCCTATCAAAGATTCCTTCGAAACTATGAATTATTAAATAAAAAATCCCGCACTATATGGTATGCTGACGGTGCTGCCTGCCAGCCTTCACTGATCCAAAGCTTTTGCGGGCATGCGAATATACATGTGAACGTTGGCAGAAGAGTAACTTGCGTCATTCCCAAACTGGACTGCGTAGAAACACACTATTGCTGTAATCTCTTTAAATCATATATTAGATAATGTTACCGCAATAGACAACACCTGGCGTAATGATACGATATCCTGCGGTTTCATAGTTAATTGTGTTAGAAGATGCACATCGTTACACCTGATTACAATGTTTTTTAATCTTTCCGACCGATAATAATATGCAGTATGCAGTTTCTGAGTTCGTGCATTCCTAGAAAATGCTCTTTCAGAATTCCAGTTTTGTAGCTTCTGTTGTTCTGAGAGCGATTTATCGCAATAAATAAATTGCCGGAAGCCATTTTTACCGGAGGCTAGTATGTGAACAGTATTTTATCTGGAAGCGAATTCCTAAAAGCCTGTCTTTTTCTGTACTGTGTGTGCAAGATTGTTCTGTAGGGCTTTCTTGATTTCAGAAGCTCGGTCCTTCTTTATTTTGTTTAGAGACTGTTTTAGTCAACGTTCGCAGCTGGTGCCTCTGGATTTGCGTTAACGTCGCTGTTGAGCGCATTGAATACGAAGGGAAATGGTCCTACATCCAACATACGTCTCGTTGATATTCTTGCAGAGAACGCCGACAATAAAATACGCAGTGCTGTGAACGTTCTGTCACTGCTAGAATCAGCTAAGTCAGCCTTTTGAAATGTTAGGTTGTTGAAGCAGTGGCTAAATATGTTGCTGTGCCCACAGAATTTATAATCAAAAGAATTAAGGTTCAGAAAAAAGATACATACTTGTTTTCATCAAAGCTGAAAATGGAAAAAAGCTTTGAAAAATCTCAAGATATAGAGTTCTGAACAGTTGGAGTTCTTTATTTTCTGACTCATAAGGAAACGAATATGGTCGGGTTGTAGTGATTTGGGGATAAACTTTGTTAAGGGCATATGGAAATTGGCTAAATAGGTGCCGAAATTAGCCTAAAAATGTCGAACTGCATTAAAAATTTGATTTATCATTCTCAGTGCTGCAAGGTTTTTACAAAATACTGAATACCAGTCATCGAGTGGTAGCAGCGGTATTAAAAGAAAGACCAGAATAACTGCTTTCTTAATTTTTCAGAAGGATCATTGGCGTGAGTGGAAAACGTCAAAAATAGTAAAAGGAGTGCAGAAAATGAATATGAGAAGGAAGTAGGAAGAATTCAGTTGGAGAGGTGCCAGAGTTGGAATACTTTTTTTTAGCAATAAATTTCATCGGTTTTTGTTTTCTAGGAAATGTTCGGTCGATGATTTGGAGAAATCAGAATTAGGACTTCGTCGATCGCTGGAAAAGTCCTTAAAAAATGTGCAAGAATGTGGCGATGCCAGCCTTTTTGCACACTATTCACCAATAATTATGGTGCGCAGTTCTCCTTTTGCTCTCCAGAATACTCTAATCCCTTGCAGTGATTGGCATCAGTGGGACATGGTCAGATGGGCTGCTTAAATTAAAGCGCTAATCAGAATCTGTTTTTTGTGTAGTTTTTTTGGGAATTTGACAGTTTGTTTTAAAAGCCAGTTGGATAACCTAGTGTCAAGCTGGCTTTATCCGCTTGCAATTTGTTTTCAGCTATGTCTAGGAGTAATATTGAGGATTGCTGACAAAAGCACTCTTACTCCACTTAAAGATTAGTGCTGAACCGGTTCACAGACTGCATTTCTCATGAAATGCCTCAAGAACACCCGGATGATCTTCCGATGTTTGCCCGAGGTACAGTTGTATCCTGGGTCCAGCCCTGTTCCGAGCTACTTGTCTCTCTCCCTCTCTCTCCACGAGAATTTTTTGGAAAGCCATACGAATATTATCGTTCATTTTCGGGGTATTTTCATTAATGTGTCATTTTCATCGGTAGCTAATAAAGCTAGAGACGCTCCCTTTAGCGGATTTCACTTTTTCTTGTGTCTTGACGACTTTCACAAAGCGTTTTATGTTTCGTACGAGTAAGGGCACGAATTTCTCAAGCTTGCTTTCATCAATTCCTGGGATTTTAACGGATTTTGTTAAATTTTTCAGAGATGGAGTTTAAAAAGTTACCTGTGTTGGTCATGATTCCAGTGAAGCGCATAATCCGCTGAGAAAAAACATATTTGATTGTGTGTGTCTGTGGCCTTAGCAAGCAAATCCAGTTTTCTAGTTGTACGAATAAAGCTTTCCAGTTTCAGGACTCAATAACCAAGTGCGGTCAGCTGACTCGAACCCTCAAAAAAATACGGGATAATGAACTTCGGTTGAAGGAGTACTACTGCGGCCCAACTATGAATTTGGAAGCCATACTGGAAACCTTGTATCAGGCTTTTAAGCTTTTTCAGAATGCGCTGAATGTAAGATAATTTTCCATATTTATATGATCTGACTTTGTAGCCTATAGTTGCGATTGAACAGTCTACTATTTTTTTTGAATCGAAGGTTTTCCTTTGATATTGTCAGTGCGACTGACGTGATCAACCAAACTTTCGGGGCAAAAACCACGATGTAGCCAAGCCATGACGACTGCTTTGTCAAGTGTTTATCCAAATATGATTGTTCAAAAGGACAATTTTTTGCTAGTAATCCCACTGTACCTATATTAAGATGATGAGATAAAGCCATTTGCAGTTACCAGGTGAACTGAATAGCTAACGTGCTAAATCCCGTAAAAGGAACACAACCCAGTTTTGGCATCCGCTTGTTAGTATGTGGAATTTTGTGCAATTTAAAGCTAAATGTGTTGCTAGATTTTTTTTTTTTTTTTTTTTTTAA